AGAGAAAGCATAAATGCAAAACAATAAGCAGGTATTTGCCACTTAAAATAGCAAATGAACAAGGATAGGGAAGAAGAAGGGTAGCTCCCACCTCCTGTCATAGCACATAGCAGCCCTATTCCTAGCTCAGAGCCTCAACACTGTTATGGCGGCAGGGGCAGAGAGATGGGGAAGGATGGGATGGGATGCTTGATGCCAGCTGCCAGGGCAGGCCCCAGCCCCTATGAAGGGAGCAAAGAGAAGACACCTTCCTCTGTGGCGCCACCGTCACAAAGTCTCTGGGACCCCTCCAGTTTAGACGGGATTGATTATCTAAGGCTACTCACCTTTGCAGTAAGGGAGCTGGGCAGCAAACTTCTCATAGAGTTGCTACTGCACTTAAACTCAGTAAGTCTGGCACAAAGGTTGATGGGGCAAGAAGTGAAGAGGGGCTGTAGGTTTTGATTTTTGAAAATTACTTTTAAACTGAGTCATTCCCCTGTGATGATTCTTTAAAGTCACACTATGTATTAAAATAGGGGCATAAGCCAGGAAAACATGCAGCATACCATCCTCTCTCTGTAGGCACCCAGCAGTGCTAAGAGCAGGATGGAGGCAGGACTATCTGCAGCCTCTCAAGAATGTCTTCTGCTCTTTTAATAGTTCTCCTTGGGAGGGTGTGGAGGTTTGTATCACGTATCATTCTCCTGTTGCTGAATCAAAAATAGTACACTGATTCATTTGTTACAGGCAGTGAGACAGTCACCAGCCACACCGAGCACACATCCCACCGCCCGCTCTGGTCCAGCTTACCCAGGGTCTCCTTCACACAATTCAACTCCTCTCAACTCAAACAGCAGCTTCACTTGACCAAGGTCTGCAGTGCTGATTAAATCCCTCTTTCTGCTGCAGCACATGCTTTCAGCAGGTTGGCAGATTATGTCCTTTGATCCCAAATTCCACTGAAATGGGTGGGAATTTTTCTGTTGCCTTCCAGGAACCCTGCGTCAGGGCTGTTGGGTTTGAGATGTCCACCTTGGAACTGGGAAGCTGGCCCTGGATAAATGCAGTGCCACACAGGAACATGCACTGCAAAGAGCATTGACTTTGCCTTCTTTTAGTGACAGAGAGAAAAACACCAAAGTTGTAACCAGGGCACCTAAAATGCAGTGATTTTGAACCTTCTTTTCTTCCTGAACACCTAACCTGAAGAGCTAAATCATTTTCCCTTCCACAGGGACCTGCAGAATGAACAACAGAGAATAATCTATGGTAGTTTATTAATATCCATTTCCTAGGAATAGGTATTTCCATGCTTTGTACAAGGAATCCCTGTGAAAGTTGCAAGCTTGGCAATTTCACAGAGGTTGTTGGTTTTATAATATCTATTTTATTTTTGTATTTTATTTCCCGAGGCGTTCTTGTTCTTTATCCCAAATTGAAACAATTTGTGCTAGCAGACCAACAATAATTACCTTTAGGGGTGACCAATGTACAAAAAAAGAGTGGAAGAGGAAGGAAAACAATTCAGTTTTCAATGAACTACTAATTATTCATTAGATTGGTATTCTTAACTATTAATAAATAACTAACCACAATAACCAGTTGCCACAAAGCCCTCCTAACACTGCTTCCAACAGGGCTGTGCTGTGACTTGTACCTTGCTCAATACGCAGCAGTATTTACCCGCTGGACTGGGCAATGCAAATCATGTCCAGCCTGCAGTCTCGCCTTACAGGCAGACTGAATTTTGACATTAACCCCACTGCTAATCTATGCTAGCACGTAAACCTTGGCCTTGTTAAAGACTTTTATACCAGCCTCTCATATCTGTGTTTTAGGTCTCTGATCTCTCACCTCAGCATCGTCACACCTCTGCTGGTGCAAAGGGCTTCAAAAGAAAATAGTTTATTACTTCTTGACATTGTCTTCCCACTGTGTCACTTGTGGATTTAAATGTTGGGGATTTTTGTCCCTCACCTTCTTTTGCCTTAATATTCAGCCTCTTGAGTTCACTTCTGGTTTTTATCTATTTTATAGGGACATTGTCCTACTGAAGTACACTGCTATAAAACTGTATTTATCACGTGCCTTGGGAGATAAAGAGACAAGGTCAAACCTTGTTACACTCTATTTCGCATACATATGCCACTTGATTTCATTAGGAAAAGCAACATGAAACGGATACTCCCAGTTGCTGCGTTCTCACTAGCAGTCACTACAAGTATTTTAAACTGTGGCATATAACTTAAGTGTTCTCCGGTCTCTGTTTCTGATTGTAAGCTCTGTGATCCTTCTGTCTGTCCAAACAGCTTCACAAATTCCAGTTTAAATGTACTGAACAGTGTGGACTGAGTATAAACTGATAATGGTCTCCAGACTCTGAAGCACATGAAAGCAATTCCCATGGACACAGCTGGTTACACCAGACCCTAAACTCAGCAATGGGTTACTACAAAACCTACAGCTTCCCACTTTTTGTTACCACGTCCTCCCCTCAGTCAGGGCAAGCTGCTGAGCAAGTAGCCTCCAGTTTCCCTCACACTGGTTTCTGCGCAGAGGACGTGGAGAGGTAGTGGCAGTGCAAATCACAGCACACTAGCTGCTTGGCAGGATCCCAGCTGTGATACCACCTACCAAAAAGCAGATACGGGCTGAGAGAGAAAGTTCAAAAGCCCACTCACTTTGATTTCAGCTATGGAAAATGCAGCATTTGCTCATTGCTAAGAATGAGGACTTTTCCGCATCCAGTGATAGCACTGGCATCTTCTTTAGAACCTTCCTACAGAGAATGGGGGCGGTCAGCACAAGTACCACTTTAAGACAATTTCAGGTATTTGCATTCCCAAATACTTTCTAAATGACAAAATAAAAGGATCCTCACAAAGAAGCAATATCCCTAGGACAAAATAAATACACTTACTCTTCCTTGCTCTGCCCCTGAAATGCTTCTAATATTTTAAATGGTGAAAGGACATAGGGATTTAAAATTACAAGAATCCTGAGATTCAAAATCACCAACACCTTGACTTGATTTTAATAGTACAAATCCTGCCTTCTTCATAATATGATGCCAATTTATTGCAAGACTTCAGAAAATTGGGCAGATACTTGTAGAGGAAGTAACAAAAGGTAGTCCTGAAAGCAGCCCAGCAAATACAAGCTGTTTCCTCCAGTCTTCCCCCTTCATCTCACAGTGAACCAATGGAATTTTCTACCTCTCTGTCGCACAGATTTCCCTGAGGGAAAAAGAGGCTTTACATCAGTTCCTAAAAATAGTTGCATGGTAGTGCTCCTGAAACTGCTTCACATTTGGGTCAAATCTTGAAAAGAGCTTTAAAAAGCTACCAGAGCTGAAGAGGTTTTATGCGAGAATCTCAAGGCGTGTCTTGGACATCGAAATAAGGCACTAAAGAGACTAGAGAGAAGCCAACGATTTCAAATCACTGGAAAGCTAACTCTAATATTTTGTTTATGGCTCTTGTAAGAATAGAGCAGTGGTATTGTGACAAGTGACAAAGAACAATGAACTTTCAAGGTACAAAGGTGTCTAGGAAAGGCAAATAGCCCTACTGTAAGTGCCTCTCTGATGGGCAGTGGGAGATCGAACAGAGGCACTAAAAGGGAAATCTGGAAAAGAATGTGACAGTTAGACTCAATCTTACAGAAGAAGTTTAATCAGCAAAGGCATTTAATCATTCCCTACTAAAAAAAAAAAAAAAAAGGATTTTTTTATGATTACAAATATAAAATAGGCCTTTCCAAATTTTCTTTGCTGACTGCTTGTTAATGCTAGTTTGACTGTCTTTTCATTGTGAAACATCACATTTTCAGAGCTGTTCACAGAATACTATTGTTGCATTGGGAATTTGAAATCTGGACAGGCATATATTCTCTTAACTCACAGTCTGATAATGCTGGTACAGGTCTTCATAAACTAAAATACATAAATATTGAAAATAGAACTACTATTTTGTCATTTTAAAACAACCTTTTTTTTATCTAAACATTATTTCATTTTATTATAGATGCCTTAAAATTTTCCATAGTCAATATGGAAGTTTTGTCACACTTTTGAATAAGTTTGGCATATTGCTACACTGACAAGGCATTTAAATATTTGCCATATTATTGCTGACACAAACCATTTAGGTGTCTGCTATGAACTATGTAACATACAAGAACTTGATACGAGAAGGTCCTTAAGTAAGTAAATTGAAAGTAACTTGGCGCGTCTCTGCACAGTTTGTAACCAGGTGTTGGATCAAATCTGTAATGCTTATTTAGGTTTTATTTGGACAATGTTACCTTTTTTTACTTCATTGGCTGTTTGCCCTGTTAATAGCACACTGCAGTTAATACTGCTGCTATCTCCTAATAATCCTGCATAGAAATAAAATTGCTGATGTTACTAATACCCCCAGATAGAGGATTTGCAGGAGTGAGTAAAGGGGAACTGCTCCTCTCGTCACTGTGGAACTGAGGGTGTGAACATGGCTCCTTCACTGTTGCCAGTGAATACCAGATCTTGAATTCTGCTAAAAACCAAGGCAGACACTGGCTGGGTAGGGAGGTCAGGATGTAAATGGAAAGGGAATAGTTTCATCAGCAGGTGTATGTCTGGTGACGAAGCATCCCGGAAGTGACCACACTGTCTTACTTTCCATAAGCACAGGAACCTGGACTTCTTTTACAAAAAGGAAAGGAGTGAAAGGTTTTGCCTACTGCATGCAGACAGAAATTCAGCACACAGCACTGCTCTTTCATTTAAAGTATCTTTTTCTCTTCCCTAGTTATCTAACAGAATTCACTCTGACCTAAGGGAGAGATTATTTTTTTTTAAATTGAGATCCTATTGCCATGTGGCTCTGTGTGTGTGTGTGTGTGTGTGAAGTTGCTTTTCTCCTTTCAGAAATCAGAGTACAGATTTTTTCCTATTTATAATTCCAGTTGTTTATTATCTGCTACTCTTTTTAAAGGCAAAGCATTGCTTACCATCAGAAATGTACAGTCCAAAAAGGTATTCCTGAATGTTTTCTTTTGGAACTGTAAAGAGTTATAATATAAACAAAAGCAGATATTCAACTACATTTCATATTGCATGTGATAGGAATGGCTCCATACAATGTGGATGAAGCAAATTTGGCAGTTAATTTCTTTGAGACCTAAAGAACATAATACGTAGACATTTCCAGATCTGGTCTTGTATCACACATAACATTGCCTGACCCTTTTGTTATCATTTAAATCCAGCCTGCTTTATTAATTATTCATGTTTTATTTTGCTCTATTGATTGTTCAAGTTAGAAAAAAAGAGTTAAAAACTACTGACTTGAAGACACTGCAAGACCCTAAGTACTGCAAACTCTGAGCATAAATATACATATTTTTTCTGAGAAAATATGTCATTAACTGTAGATCAATCAATGCAAAATGATCGTGCAATTAAATACAAGTCTCAACTGAAATTTAAAGCTGCAGATCATGTTTTCCCTACTCCCAGTGCTCCTTGAAATCTCTCACACTTAAAAAAATAGAATTAGCTTTAGATTTATCCCACAATAAATAACACCAGAACATACCTTGTGCTACCAACCTGAATTTAAAAAAAAGTAAGAGGCCACCTCAGTGTTTTGAGTTTATGGGATCTTTCAGACACAAAGCCCTAACAGAGTTTCCCAGTCAAAAGGCATCAGGAAGGCTCATCGCTTATGGTAAACTTGGGCTTTAGCTTCACAGACCTCTTCCTTATTGTGCCTTTAGGGGACAACGGCATGGTGTCCATAATGCTCTTGTCCTCCTCCAGCTGCCTAGCAGTGCACGAAGGGGTGGGCACTTTCACTGTGTTGCCAAATTTAGAGTAGTCCACAGAGTATCGCCCATCTTCCTCTGCCACAATGGGCACAAACCTTTGGCCCCAGAGAATTTCATCTGCCAGGTAGGAGGTTCTGGCTTGAGTGGTGATGCCAGTGGTCTCCACCACCCCTTCCAAGATGACGATGATCTCCAGGTCCTCATGATGGTGAAGGTTCACTGGGGAGATGTCGTAGAGGGGACTGTTCTTGTCTATCACGTGGTAGATGATGAGTGGGGAGACGAGGAAGATGCTGTTGCCCCCCACAGGGTTCTCCATCTGTATGTCTATCTGGTTGAGGGGCACCACCTCCCCCTCCAGGCTGGTGGTCTTCTTCACCACCTGCATGCGGATGGTGGCGCTGATGATCATGCTCTTCCGGAGGTCCCCCACCCGCAGCATGAAGCAGAGCTTGCCCTCCCGCAGGGCGATGACTGCGTGCTTGCTGAAGATGAGGGTCTCGGCTCGGCGGTGGGCCTGCGAGGTCTTCATGAAGATGCAGCCCAGCATGATGGCATTGATCACCAGCCCCACGATGTTCTGCACAATCAGCACCAGGATGGCGGCGGGGCACTCCTCCGTCACCATGCGTCCCCCAAAGCCAATCGTCACCTGCACCTCAATGGAGAAGAGGAAGGCAGAGGTGAAGGAGTGAATGCTGGTCACGCAGGGCACAAAGCTGGCCGGGGCCCCTTCCAGCCCCTCTCTGGGGTCAAAAGTCCTGGCCTCCGTGGCGGAGGGCCATGACCCACCACACCATGCCGAAGAGCAGCCAGCTGCAAAGGAAGGACATGGTGAAGATAAGCAGAGTGTGGTGCCACTTGAGGTCCACCAGGGTGGTGAAGACGTCCTGGAGAAACCGTCCCTGCTCCCGGATGTTTTTATGGGCCACGTTGCAGGCACCGTTCTTCCCCACAAA